TCATTTAAATATCATTTTGCATACTGAGTTCATTCCAATCATCAAGTTTGCATAAATTTGGGTTTTTCTAAGAATAAATTCCTGTCTTGGCAAATTTGTTTCGATTAAGGCTAAGATAAATAAAACTGAACTACTCGATCTCTGTGGGACGATACTCAAAATTTAATATTACACTTTATTACTTGTTAACGAATCGTACACTTGCAGTAATTTTAAGTTGAAAGAAATATTTCGTGAACAGCACTCTCACCCTCCAAGTAAGGTGTTGTACAAGAGCTCTACAAACAGTTAGCAAAAATTGCAGTTTCTATGTAAAACATCATGAAGCCAATTTAATTTGGAAAAGAATTCCCTCAAGCTATAAGTGGCCTAAAAAATGCATGCCACGTATACTCGGTAAATGATAGGCTATGTCTGGGCGCACTATTTTTCCCAAACTTAAGTGATTTTGTGATCATTGATGCCTCTGACGGTCATAATTTCACGTTCAGCCTGATATTTGAATAAAAAATACTGATACAAATGTCTGTTGCATTTTTCCATTTGCACCCTCACAATTAACGCCAACACCAACCCCCCTTTCTCTGTCATCTGGAAAATGGAAAATCAAAGATAGATAACTGTAAAAACTCCTCCACTCCATGACGCTGCCAACACCACTGCTCCACTGGACGACGCCGCCGACATCGCTCCTGCACTGGACGAAGCTGCCAACATTAATTGCTGTCTGGTGGCCGCAATATCTACAATTTTTCCTGGTTCGACGGTGATAAAACATTCCGGGCGCTGAGATAATTTTCTGCAACAACCCGGTCGCCCCACCCTACTTCGACGACAACAGCGACCGATTGATGTAGTCCCTGCCAACAGCTTCAACCCCGAAGATGCGTTGACGACGTTCACCTTCTTCGGCCACCAATTGAAGCAACTCCACAATCACATTCGATGCCCACAGTCACAATCTGTGCTCCCAGTTTCTCCGGCACACACACGGTCAGGTGTTGGAAAAAACTGCTCACCCACAGTGAACAACCATAGACCCAGTCACGTCCTCGGTACGGTACTCGAACTCGAACCTTTTGTTAATTTTTCTGATCACTGTAGAATGCCATGATCGTTGATTCTGCTGATGGAAAGTAACAATTTTTCCTCCCATTTTGTAGCAGCCAAATTTTGGTCACACCCACACCCGAACTCCTCCATATCCCATGGCCATCATGTTGATAGCGAATCAGGGCCTCGTAAGCATGCACAGTGGATAGACTATGAGACGCAAATTTTTGTTGCCGCCTGTGAGACCGTAATCGCTGATGGACACCGAAATGGGAAGTGCTTCACCAAATTCGGATGGCAGACATTGGTTCACTTATTCAACACTAACTCCGGCCACAATTGGAGCAAGCAGCAGCTAAAAAATCGATGGGATGCACTCCGCTTGAAACACAAGAGATTCGAAGAATTGATCAACAGCAGCGGCATTGCGTACGACACGTCCACTGGCTTGATTAGCGCCTCGGTCGAGTGGTGGGATCAAAAGATGAAGGTACCGTCATATACTCATCAGTACTATGTCAAAACATATTGAGTAATTGATACGCAAAATTGGAAAGGCCTGAGTTATTCCAGAACCGACTGTCCTTGTAGTATAGGGAGGAATATGTTATACAGGCATGTGACAACTGTTTGATAATTCTGTTGTTTTTGTTGACTGTTCGAAGTGAACAAACTACTGATTAACGAGACAGGATATGTATTGATCTTGGACAAAATGTTGTCCATTTTTTTCATAGGAGATGCATGCCCTTGATTTGGATGTTTTGTGCACTGTAACCCCTGTTATAACACTAATTCCACCATGTACGAAGTGAATTGTTATGTATGGACACCCTTTCGATTATTCCGGCCTATGATTATGAGTTTTCTATGTGATGGTTTTCTAGAGTTGGAAGTATGAGATATTGCAATGCCATCCGCATGGTTACCTGAACACAGTAAATGTAGCATTCATTCTCATTCATCCACTGGGTCAAACTTGTAATAAACTCGAGCAAGCTTTTTATTTCTCTACGTATGTGCTTCGGGCTATTGTCGTTCATGTTTCAAATCCTTGTTGCAGAGTTGGACCTAGCCTTGTAACTGTGTTTATGTTTCGTTCACACATTCATGTGCATGGATAGGAATGGCTGACATTGTTGCTATTTTGTGAAATGGATGCATTCCCCATGTTTTTTCCAGTCATTTGTATTTGTTCTCTCACACTTCATTGTGAACCTTGTCTGCTTTGTATTGCTTCAAGATAGAAAAGAGTACAAGGACAAGGATTGCCACGAGTTGTACCGATACAAGGTTTTATTCGGGGATGTGTTCGACTCCGATAAGTACGCAGTCACCCCTAGCCTAGCATGCCGCACTGGCTTCGCTGTGTTCGAAGACGATGCACACGAAGACAACCGTGATGAGGTCCTAGTCGATGTTGAGAGTAGTGACTCAAGCGACGAAGCTCTTGTAGCCACACCGCGCTCGTCGATCAGGGATGAATCTGGTCCGCACAGTGGGGACAAACGGAAGGCTGCGGGGAAGCGAGCGAAGGACAAGAGGAAGAAGTTTTCATCTCGGGACGTGTCGTATTCTATGGACCGTGCAACCTCTACCAGTGAGAAGATTGCTGCAAAAACTGACCACTTCATTGGAGTAACTGTGTCCGACCCGAAGACATACATGAGCGAATTGCTCGCTACGGGTCGACTCCAGAAGCAAACAAATCTGTATTTTTACACATGCAAGTTCCTTTCGCAGAGGGCCAATAAAGAGGTACTTGACATGCAAGACAATGTAAACGACAAGTTTGCTTGGGTGGAGTGGAGCTACCAGGAATAAAGGAAAACGCAGCCGCAGTGAGATATGTTTCTGTCCATTGCATACACGTTCGTGGAAAATTTGTAATTTTTCTTACTGTTGTTGACTTTGACATGTACTATGTTTGATGTGAGGATATTTGAATTGTGTTAGTTTCTATGGGAAACAGTTGCCCGAGTTTGCTTTTTCCAGTTGCAAATTTTTCTCACATGCGTGCTAAAAGTTTGATTCTTGAAGATTACAAGCATATGTGCAGACAAACAAACTTTTGACTATTTTTCACGGTTGGGTCAATCAAGTGTTGCATTAGTTGGTGGACTGGTCACATCAGTCCCATCTGCACCTCAATTATTGGTTGCCATGGCCATAGCAAACATTTTATAAAAGGCACATAAATGTAGTTGAAGTTTACAACATGCAAAAGCCATAGTGTTGAATATGATATTGTGATTGTGGTCTAATGGCACATTCAGAATTCACCTGCGAGTTGCATCCGACCTCCGATGCGGAGGACGAACAGGGCGACGAGGCATTCATGGAAGAATTGCAAGTGGGCATTATGGAGTGGTTTCGATACTGTCAAATGAATGAGGTTACTCTCAGAAACTATTATCACAAACAAAGCACTCGTGTTTCAAGATATCCGTTTGCGCGAAATGGTCATATGTTCATGTTGGACGTAATGAACTGTAGTCCTCAACAATGCTATGCAGGGTTTCGCATGTATCCCGTCATGCTGTGAGTGTTCACACATATGCTGCGTGACGAGTACAGACTTTGCAATCATCAGCACTTAGATATTTATGAACAGGTTGGTATGTTTCTCTGCATATTAGCACATGGGAAGGGGTACAGACAGGTGTAGACCCTTTTCAACCATTCATTGGAAACCGTTGGACACTACTTCAAGATTGTGCTTTGGGCGGTCCTCGAATTCTCTCGACGAGTAATTCGACCAGATCCAAACTACAATAATTATGCCGAGCATCACATTCCGAATCTTCACAAGCATCACATTTTTCGAGATTGCATTGGTGCGATTGACAGAACCCACGTCAGAGCCGTTCTTCCACGGGAGCAACGCGTGAGTTTTATCGGACGAAAAGGAATTCCGACACAGAATGTGCTAGTGGAATGTGATTTCAATTTATGCTTCACATTCATGCTTGCAGGTACGACGGAGAAATACATAATCCCGAGCTTGAGTTTTCGCAACCTGCACCTGGGAAGTATTACCTGGTTGACTCGGGATTTGCTCATCGACCTAGTATATGGTGCCCTATAAGGGCTCAGATATATTGTACCATTTCCAGCAATTCTATGACGGCGACATTGGGCGCAGACGTAACTTTCGAAATGACCTCGAAAAATTTAATTTCAGGCACTCCTCATGCAGAAACGTCAATGAACGTGCATTTGGCGTTTGGAAAAGTTAGTGGAAAATACTGGATCATATGCCCAGTTATGCGGTCGACGTGCAAACACATGTTGTAATTGTAACCATGGCCATTCATAACTTTCTTCGACGGGCGGGTGTGGTGGACGAAGCATTCCTAAGAGTGAAGACGGACCACGACGCAGCAGAAGTGGAGCTACCAAGCGCACGTGACGAAGCTTTAGCGGAAATGAATGCATCGGAGTCACGACAAGATGAGTGGGATATGTTCAGAGATTATCTGACACAACAATAAACACGTGTATTTTGTTTGGTCGAAAGTAGACACGAAAAAAATGTTATCATGAATAAACAATTATGAAACCAGTCGGTGTTGTTGCATTTCAATTCCGTGTGACAAAATGGTAGTGGACAAAAAATATTGCACTTGTTAATGGGACCCACCATTTTGTATTCTCTCACCAATTGTTCCTGCAACAATTCGGTCAAAAGGTGTATTAATTGTCAGTGCAAAGTTGTTGTGAATGTGGGCAAATGTGTAATTTAGTAAATGGAACTCTTGCATGAGGAACCAGAAAGCCTTCATGTGGGCCACCTGAAAAGACAGGAGAATTGATTCTCCAAAACCACAATCGCACCCAGATGGGGGCATAGTATTAATTGCAATGTCATATATTGTTCAATGGAGTATAATCTTAAATCAGGAGGACTTGTCCATCTGTCTAAAATTCTATAGAACTTAAAAGTCTTTGATGCAAAAGTAGGCCCTTGGAGGAATATTTCCCAGAAGAAAAAATGGAGCTTTAAGTTTGAGTTACATTATCACATCTGCACTTGTCTTGATCATACATACACATGCAGATACATACTAGATTGAATTGAATTATGATACTTGTGAATTACTTGCAGAATTGCCGCATAGCTTGTTTCTCTTAGCAGATGCCAGATCATTGCTGGAATGGTTACTTATCGCATTATTATCAGATGCCGTGTCCACGTTCCTTTGAACAACAATTAAGTTCTGAATGACATTTCCTGGACTTTGCTGGCAAAAATGAATGTTTAGAGTAAGTAACTCATTACATTTTATGAACTGAACAGAAGTTTATACATGGCATAGGACGGAGAGAAATTTGGGGGTTGGGGGGAGATAGAGAATACAATTTGTCTTCTCCTTCTCCACACATGCTGCCTAAGGTTCTTTGACACGTCCCGTCCTAAGATTCAAGACGTGACATGAGCCGATGATAAGTACCAGCTAGGAACTGGACCCATCACCAAGGCAAAAGTAGCTAAACTTTAATAATAAAGCTTTATTTGACAATTAAAATCTTTCTAAACTCCAATAAAATACCAACATAATAATATCATTTGTTCGTTTAGCCAAAAACATCCATAACATATACATCAAAACTGCCTCTCAAAAGGATAATAGAAAGCAATTTAGATTATAATATTACATCGTGATCATTGGTGTATATAAATACCAAAATAATTTTCATCCAATATGATGCAAATATTTTACTTGATAATCACACAATTTCAAACAAAAGAACCTACAATTGGTGGTAGCAATGGCTGCAAAACTATCAAAATAATCTCCACCACAGCTTAGTCAACAGCCTCCTATAAGGAAAAGTTCAGGAAAATATGAGATAATAATCTCAGTGAGTGAAGTGCTTAAAAGATGGTTGTACTGTCCTTTGTGTGTAAAGATATATATATATATATATAACGAGATGAGTAAGTACATTAGACAATTCAATAATCAAAAACCATAATCTAAAATCCACAAGCTGAACTGTAAAAGGGAAAAATGTAAGCTGAAGACTAATAATCCACTATATAATTAAAATTCACGTCAAAATATATATCCCACGTAAACATCTACTAATGATCTGAAAGCTATAAATCATATGTAAATAAACCGTCTGATCAATATTCTGTACATGGCCGTAGCCCCTCAGTGTACAAGATGGAAACAACATAATCATCATTATACACGGCTGTAGCCCCTCAGTGTATAATGGATAACTTTATCCATGGTCGTAGCCCCTCAGTGGATAAGAGTTACCCTTACACACGGCTGTAGCCCCTCAGTATATAATGGATAACTTTACCCACGGTCGTAGCCCTTCAGTGGATAAGAGTTAAATACATGACTCTAATACACGGCCGTAGCCCCTCAGTGCATTAGAGTACGATAATCACATCAATTATTTTATGATAATTCCAAAATAATCATACTCATTTACTATTTCTCAAAAATAAAGCATTTCATGTAATTAACATGCTTCTATAAAATAAAAAGAAAATCTTCTTTTTGAAAATATAGATTCTTCACTCACAATTCTAGGCTGGACTAACGGGGCTGATATGCTGTTCCCACGTCCAAATCCCCTCTTGAAACGATCATAAATATAAGCTACTTCAATTCCATCCATATACAGTTACAAAGGATTTCTCAATAATAACCCTTTCTTATCATCAAAATAAAATAAAATATATATATCCCTCAATAAGCAATAAGCTGAGACTTAATATTTATCTTTTTATTTGGTTACTTAAACATACGTTCACTTAATTTCGAATCACTCTACATCCCTCACTCTTTAATACTAACCTTTCCCGGCTGCCCCGTAAAGATTCAACAAGTTTTTTTTATGATAATAATCATCCACATTCCTTATTTAAATTCTCTTTTAACTAAATACATAAATCTTATCAAAAGCTCCTTTCTTATATTCTCCATATTCATCCAAAGTGAGAATTCAAGCATAAGATAAGTTATTTTCAACTAATCTAACTTAATAATACCATAAAACAATCAAAAGGGAAAATAACAAGAATTCATATATTTCCCCAAATTTTCGGATTTAGCCATATATGACAAAACCCTAATATCTAAATATCATTTTTTTCCAATCTATTAACTAGCTCCAAATACTCAAATAGTTAGATTCCTTATCATATTTTTCAAGTATAAGCTATAAATTTAAAACCCTAAACAAAAATTTACAAAAACTAAATCATAAATTATTAACCTTACCTCTTGAAGAATTAAATAAACAAGATTGAAGTAGTTGGCACAAGATTTCTTCTTTCCTTTTTCTTTTTCTTTTTCTTCCTTTCTTTTTCTTTTCTTCCCTTTCTCCTCTTCTCTACGTTTTCTCTCGTTCAACACACTTTAGTGTGTGTTAGTGTGTGATTTTTGTGGAAAAGAATGGTCAAAGTTTGAATATAAATGCCACTTGTTCAAAATTGCTAAGGAAGGTCCCTATTCTTTAATAGAATATAACTTTTAAATTCTAAACTTCCAAATATATATAAGTAAATTCTCAACTTTAAATTGTAGCCAATTTAACCCTCATATATGGCTAATTATAAAATAAACCCCAATAAAATATTTAATTTCATTTTAGTCCTTAAGTGACTTTGACTTTGACTAGTCAACATTTGAATTTTGACTAGAAAACTTGGGTTGTAACATTCTTCATCTCATTCTTTCTAACAGGCTTAATAAGAAAGTCGGCAGCTCCTTTTAAAGTAAATTATTTCAGAATAATATTAATCGAATTCGCTGAAGACATCACTGCATGCTCAAGAAAAAGATTGTTTAATTAGCATCAATATATAAAATATAACTTGAAGAAAAAAAATAGAGTGTCTTCATACTTATGACAGGAACATTTCCGCAAATATCACGCTCCATTATTAGGTTAAGAAGAGCACATCCTCTTAAGTGTCTTCCATGCCATTAGACCATCTAATACTGCAGCAACTGCTCAAGCAGATTAGCTATAGCATCAGTAACCATAGCTATTAAAGCTCACGTCGGATAAGTCATCACTTCTTTTCAGAGATGGGAGATTCGACACGAGGATAAGTTCATTCAATATAGTCCTTATATACTTTGTGTTTGAGCCAGTTTTTTTCAAAAAAATACATTTTTCAACAGTAATTTAACATCATTTCAACTGCACATTTTTAATAAAATAATATTACATGTAAATCCAAATTTTTTTCTTATTTCTTAACCACACATTTTCCATCAATACACTATTCAAAAATACATTTTTATCCCAATAATGTGGCTCAAACAATGGCATAATCACATTATTTCCTAAATATATTTTTCTTTCTTTTCTTTTGAACGACATATCCCTCCAAAAAATACTACTACATATAAATTCAATTTTTTTTTATATATTTTAATAACACATTTTCCATTAATCTACTATTCAAAAATACATTCTTAACAAAAAGTGGGGCTCAAACTGGCACCTATATTTATTGTCCGAATCCCCTTTGGGTAAATTTCATTTGCAATTATTAGAGATGCAAATGAGTCAAGTCGACCCAACTCATTAGTCGAAGATAGCGTATCCCAAGCCAAAAGGGCTCGAACTCTTTTTCCCAAGCTGAGCCAAAGCTCGATCTAAAAATCGAGACTTGGCTTGAGCTTTGGGCTCAATTTATTTTATTTTTCATATAATCTGTGGTGCCTGAAGCAAGTAGCCTAGCTTTTATCATGATTCATTTGTCATGGGCCAACCCTAATTTTTAATCACATTTGCTTTTTAAAAAATCAATTTCACACAATGGGACTAAATTTGGTAGTTAAATTTCAATATGCCAAATTGATTAAAATTGCATAGTAATCAATCATATTGCAATATATATTTCATGTAAGGTTGCATGACATGGCAACTTATTATATTAACACCATTTAGAAGTGTTAAAATAAAAAGATATGCTTTTTAACATTTAAGCACTTGTTTGAGCTCATTTTTTAGAGTATATTATTCTTAAAACTTATTTTCAACTACATATTCTCTTAATAAAATAATAATACACGCAAACTTAAATTTTTCCAACTTTTTAATCATACACTTTCCAAAAATTCACTATTCCAAAATCTATTTTTTTTCCCAAATAATGGGATTGAAAACATTTTAATAACCTTCATTTTATCACTTATGATTCTAGAGTGCTACATAACTATTAGGGTCCGTTTGATTATAAAGATGAAATTTGGGTGGAAAGAAAACGAATTCCAGAGAATTGAATTGCCCAAAAATTGTTTTATTAGGAATTGTCAATTATTGTGTTTAATTAGTATAATTTCTCACATTAAAAATATTAAAATAAAAGTGTTTTTTGATATTTATTTGACTTTATTTTACATAAAAATTGTTAATTAAAGGGATAAAATTTACCAGTATTTGGGATAAAATTTGTTACCATTGCAAAAAAATAAAAAATAAAGGCAAAGAAAATTATCTATCTTTTGATATTCGTTTGACTTTGTTTTATATGAAAATTATCAATTAAAGAAAAATATTTTTTTACAATTAGGAATAGAACTTGTTTCCATTGCCAAATAAATAAAAAGGTAACAGTATCCTAGAAAAACCAATTCCTGTCATAGCAAAACCAAGAAAATTCCAGCTTCCAAGAAAACCAAATTCCATGGAAAAAATATATTATCAAATAGCCAAAAGGGAAGTTGGAATTTAAATTTCATTTTTCATAGAAAGTATAGTGCTATCAAACATGACCTTAGATAGAAGAACAACATTCAAAGTGATTTTCATCAATTTGAGATTCAATAACTTGAGATAATAAGTAACGTAGTGTTAGTAACTCAATTAAGATGAATTAAAGTTTAGCCCTTGTTTGAATCTCATTTTTGTTATAAAAATACATTTTTGAATAGTGTGTTGATAGAAAATGTGTGGATAAAAAATAAGAAAAAATTTCAAATTTGCGAGTAATATTATTTTATCAAAAAATGTATGATTGAAATGATATTAAAATACTATTTAAAATGTATTTTCCCAAAGAGTGAGGCTCAAACAAGGACTTAATAACCCAATTAAAATTTCATTGAAATTAAATGACTGTAAACAAGTTTAATAGTTCTTTACTGTCTAACTAAATGCTAAAATTTGCTATTTTTTTCTCTTTTATTTTGTTTTGTTAGAACATATTCAAAAGATTCTTTATTTTTAAAATCATATTTTACAATTTAAAAAATAGCTATAGATTTAAAGAGTACAAATTTTTAAATACTCCAAAAATCTCTTTATATTTTATACTTAATTTTACTACTCTTAAAAAATATTTATTGTTTTTACCCATCTTCCATTTTTACTAGTTTCCTTCCTAATTTTATTATTTTCCTCAATGGAAAATTAAGCACTTTGAATGTATTCAATTATATATAGTGAATTTGGCTCTTCAAATTTGGAGAGCCAAACTCACTTTCTAAATTAAAATGTTAATTTAAAGAGTTTTTAGAGTACAATTTTAAAGGTTGACTCTTTAAAATAGAGAAGATATTATGTTTAAAGAATTTATTGGAGATGCTTATAAATACAGCATTTAGCCAAAAAGAAAATTTCAAACTTTTTCAAGTCCCAATGATAAAATATCTATCCTATGTGAATTATGAGAGTGACTAATGAAATATAATTTTATCCATACAATTTTTAAAATTTACAATCATTACCCATTTTATCATCCACGCATTGCCTAGAACTCACAATTTATAATCAAGTCCCAGACATGTTGTACTTCCATCACTATTAAAAGCTAGTAAAGATCCTCTCACAAAACATGTGAACATAAGGAGCGTACATTTGAGAAAGTATTTATATTGTGTACTTTTTTTCTTTTTGACATTTTAGTGGAGTTAGAGAGGCCAGTCTAGCTTTTTGTACAAAATTAAGATTAGAGGATCATTAGGCCACAAGAAAGCTGATGGATTTATGTGATTTTCTTGTAATGCAATTGTGGCCATTCTTTCATTCACAAGCAAAATTGCAGTCATGACACTACCAAACTACAATTCTTCCAATTTAAAAGTTGTTCACCAACCAGTATGTCATTGTAGTTTCATTCCCTGCAAACCAACAAAACTCACTCAGATACCTGTCATTAGAGGTGGGCAAAATCCAATCGAACCCGCTCAAACGGCCCAAACTGACCCAACCTGGCTGGGTTGGGTTGTTTTTTTGTTGTTTTTAAGTGGGTTCGATTTTTTGATAGTCGGGTTGGGTCGGTTTGTGGGTTAACTCATAAAAACTGACCCAACCCAACCCACCTATTTAAAATTGAAAAAAAAAAAAGAAAGGGAAAGAGAAATAAATTGCCTAAACGTAAAATTGCTATTTTTAAGATTTAGAGTTTCATAAAATTATAACAAGAATCCCATTATAATTTCTAATAGACAAATTTTTATATCGAATTTCTCAAATCACAATGGATAACTCAAGACTTCGATTGGTTCTTCCCATAATCTTTATCTCTTAGGATAATTAAGTCTTGTACTGGTTTACAAAAGTATCTTGTAGAATGGTTATATGAATTATGGACATAAATGTTGAAGAGAAAATAAACGTTAACGTTTTATATAGAGGCTTGATCTAACTTCTGAATAAATCGATTTCTCACATTTCAAATAAGCTTGTGAAGTATAATTTGCTTGTTATTGCCTAAAACTATTAAAAATTTGAGATAAATAATAATTAAGAAGTTAAATTTGAAAAAAAAAAATTTGGCTATTGTCTTACTTTTTGGGTTGATATCAATTTAATAAGTATCATTGTTTGTTGTGCAAACTTGTTTTGTTAATCTAGATCTGATGATGAGCCTGTAGATCCGAAGCAAGAACTTGAAGAGTGATGCAAAGGCACCATGCACACGACCACTCAAAGAATATTAGGTGATTTTGACTTAATGAAAATAAACCTTCCTTTTTTGTTTTTCTAATTTAATGTCTGCTTCTCCATTTTTCAAGTTTCCTGCCTTTTGTGTTCTTTTCACCTAATACTTAGTATTGCTAAAGCCTAAATGAAATGTTCTATGCATTTTACATTTTTTAGTTTTTCATTCACTCTTCTTTTTGTTTGATTATATGGTAATAAATTACAATTTGTCCAAACCGACCAACCCAATCCAACCCGAGCGACACTTGATTGGGCTGAGTTTCAACATTTACTTGGATTGGGTTGGTTTGATTTTAGATCAAACTGATCGTGTTGGGTTGGGGCAAAAACTGACCCAACCCAACCCACACCCACCACTACCTGTCATCAAAAGGTTATCTTCCAACTACAAGAGAGACATCAAAAGTGAAAGGCCTTACTTACTCTTTGTAAAGTGTGGGGTCTATTTTCTTTGATCAAATATCATAAGTGTATTTTATACATTTATTCAAAATTTTAAAACGATGATAGTTAATTATTTCTTGGATGAATTATGATCTAAATTATTGCAATTGGTGTTGAATAGGTAAAATTCAATGGCGGTACAAGAAATTGAAGAAAAATAAGCAAAGTTGATAAAATTTGAGAAAAATGGCTAAGTTGTAAGAGAT